CAGATCGCCACCCAGCCATTTGAATTAATTTTCACCTGTTTTTTAGTTGAACGTTTGTGTTTGTGGCGCCTTTGAATTTGAATTTCGATAACTCATTCATTAGAGATGACACTTTCATCAGTTTCATAGCTGTTAGCTTTTGTCTAGGCACAATTTGAACCCAGGTGGCATTTTGTACATTTTTTTTAAAAGAGAATACATTTAATATATGTACTACTTTAAAGAATGAAATGGGTCTACAATTAGTTAAAGAATATAACAAAAAAATGATTTTAAACGCCTTAGCTTACTAAGAGATTGACTACATTTATGAGGGCTTACCAATTAGTACTTTTATAATAGTTTGTTAATAATAACCAAAATTCAAAAACTTTAAAATCTCTTTTGATTACATCAGCTTGATTACAATTATGTGAATTCTTTTCACTAAAAACGTTTCAAAATAAAATGGCAGCCCAGAAAATTTCCGTGCATAAGGCAACGCTAGCGATAAAAATCGATCTGGCAGCACCGGGCACAAAATGGCGAAATGGAATGATGGAAGTGAAGAGTGGAACGACGAGAATGTGGAACGAAGAGCTGAAAAAATAATTATTATTTTAAATTCCGTTTTGCCAGCGAAATTCCTCTCGCCTCTGCGTCCGTGTGCGGTGCGTGAAAAAGTGTGAAAAAGCGTGGCGAAACCCTGCCAACTATCGCCGAATGTGACAATGGAGCGGGCAAAGTGCAACGGAGGCAATAGTGCAGATGCAAAGAGCATGGCATGTCGTCAAATAGAATAAATTAAGTTTTTGCGAATTATGAAAAACCAATCGCTGTACTCTGGGGTGCGCGCGTATGCGTGTGTGTGCGCCCGTGCGCGTGTGTGTGAGCGAGCGTAAACGAGCCGAGCGGAGATAGAAACCGAAAAGCAAAAGCAAAAGCAGAACGAGGCGCAAGAATCTGGCAAAATAAAAATAAGAATTCGCCAAAAAAAAAAGAAAAACGGCCAACAAATTAATTAACCAAAATATACAGGGCACAAACCGTTAAATCTGGCGGCAAATACGCATGTTTTCGCATTCTTTTTGGGGCCCAGCAGTGTGTATAAGTGCAGTAAGTGCAGTGCAAACAACAACAACAACAACAAAACTAGAAAAACAACAACGCAACGTAATACGTAAGGCGGCAAAAGTCTCCTTACTTTTATTATTTTTTCTTGTATCTGCTGTTGACGTATTTGAGATATATGCTGTTGCGTGAGCTCTTTCGGATCGGAATCGGCTGGGAATTATGCAAAAGAGCAACAAATCGAAGGCGGGCGGCAAACTGCAGCAGCACCACTCAAATATAAATAGCGAAAAGGTAAAGCAAAAGCAACAACTAAAAATAAGAGCGGTTTAGCTTGCGGTTCGAGGGTGTAGGGGACCTAAACTTGGATATATCTACAAATAAAAAATACTGCTGAAAACCTTTCAATTGGTTTCAATTGGCAAATGCAATTGTTCAGCATTACATTTGCATTACATTGCCCGAGAGGGGAGTGCAGCAGGGGGGGGGAGTGCACCCCACTTGCACTTTTGCTGCCCTCTCCCAAGCGCCCACACTCTCGCTGCCTCTCCTCGCCCATTCCGCTTTACAAACTTTTGCGACGAACAAGAACAATAATAATCAAAACAAAAATGTTTAAAATCCATTTTCTTTCGCTTCTCCTTCACCCACCACTCATTTCGCACAGCGCCGCTGTCATTTGTCTTGCGCCTCCTCCTCTTCTTCGTACATCGGCTGCCCGCCTGGCTGCCTGTCCCCCCTTCTGCCCAGCCGCCCACAGCAACGTGAGCCAAACAGCTGTCTCGCTTCCTCGTGCACACAGGGCCAGAAGCCAGCCAAGAAGAGACGCAACGGAAACGAAGTTGCCTGGAACGCAACAGTGGGCTGAAATGGCTATGCCAAGGGCAAAAAAGAGAGGGTGTCTGGTGATTTCAACTGTTGCTCGGAGGCAGTCTCAGAGGCAAAGGCAGTTTAATTTTCATTACTGTTATTTTATGAGATGCTTTTATTTAAAGCCCTTAATTTATTTAATCGTTATGTTTTTTTCAAACATTTGTCATGGAAACCATTACTGATTAGTGACACCACAGAGAGCATAGTGATAACCTGTTGAATCATTTTTGTTTTTCAAAACCAGAATATCATAAAATAATACTTGAAACTTATTCTGAATATTAAACAATACATTTAAAATCTAAAAAAATTAGTAAGTGAAAAATTTTTTTTTTTTTTTTTAATAATTTTTGTGTTTAAAATAACCCTCTCTAAAAACTATTAGAGTGAAAAGTAAGTCTCCAATTGGAAGTTCCTGATGCGACCATGTGTGTGAAAGGGAAAGCACTGTGGGCCTAAAAATAAAAACCAACAACAAATACGCCGCTTTAAGTGCGATTGATGATAAGCTTTGCACCGAGAGAGCACCGATTCGGAGAGAGAGAGCAGAGCGTGCGAGAGAGAGCCTAATTTTTGAGTGGGCGGCCGACCTTTGCCAATTTCTTTTTATTTGTTTTTCTTCATGCCGTTTTGTTTTGATTTCGAATTTCTTATGCGGGCGCCTAAAATCCAAGACATTTCTGATTGAAATTTGGTATTTTTGTTTTGAAACCAAAGATTGTCTGAAAAAAAGGTAAAGTTTTCAATTAAAGATCTCTGTGGCTCTGTGGTTTGACCTTTGAACTGTAATCCCTCAGAAGTGCCACATTCTCATGCCTAAGCGGTTGTTGTTTGGAACTAAAGTTGTGGCTGCAGCTCTGGAAGTTGCAAGACCACCGACTCCCAAGTCTTCTTCCACCCCTTCTCCCTCCCTGTTCTATTTGCAGGGCAACTCGCCATCCTTTCAGCATTCCTCTGCTTGTTGTTGTTGTTGTTTTTTGGACAATACTTGCAAAAACTTGCAAAAAACAACTCGCAGGCACTAAAGGCTCTCCTCCAGCTCCAATACGTGCCATTGAAAAAAGACGTTTCCCTGGAACTGGTTTGGCTTTTAGGTTTCGGTTTGGTTTGGTTTGGTTTCCTTCCTCCGGGACGGACGCGGCCTTTACAAGAAAATGCCAACCAAATTAAACCCTTTCGGTATTGCCGGGTTTTGCCAACAAAAGTAATAAAAAAAAAACTGCACCACCCAAGGTTAAATGATAGTTTTGAAGATGCATTTTGAGTTGTGAATGAATCGAGTCCACGGAAGAAATTTAATAATAGGGATTCTGTAGAGAAAATACAAAAATAAGTGACATTATATAAAAGGTTTAGGTTTGAAAATTATAAAAAAGCTTAAACGAATAGCTTAATAGCTTTAAAATAATAAAGTTAAATATTAATTGATCTAAAACCATGTTTTAACGAGGAATTCTTAAGGATTCTCTTATAAAAAATACCTTTTATTAAAGGGGCCTACGGTTAGTGTGAAAAAATGCATATTAATGTAAAAGCCTTTTAATAGATACAGAAAAAAGAGTATTTTTAATAGTATTATCTTAATAAACTTAATTACTTTTTCACCTGAGTTTATAAAATATTAAAATTAAATATCAGTATCTATAAAATTAAATATCAGTCTATAAACAAGTTTCAAAAAAGCATATCCAAATGTTATCTTATTTCTTGAAAACCCATTCAAAGATATTTTTTTATTTAAGGTGAAACCCATCTTATTTGTAAAAAAAGTTCCCCTTATAGAACTATAGATAGTTTTTTATAGAACTTATAGAACTCTCTTTGTAGATAGTAATATAATATTTATAAACAATATACTATCTGAACCAAATAGGATTTTGAAACTAAAAGGTTCAACAAAAATCTTAAAAACCCTAAATCCTTAAAAGAAACCGCTAAAACCCCTATGAAAAAGGGTTAATAAGTTATTTCAGAAACATACTTTAATAATAAATATGTAGTCATTTATAACTATCATAACTAGTTATAATATTAATTATAACTAGTCAGTCACTATTAGATATATGTACATATATAACTCTCAGATAGTCAGTTATAAGGATCATATCCAAATATTATTATAATTATTCCAAACATTTTTAATTACCATAACTATGAACCCTGTTCCATTGGATAATTTTACCATAAACTCAAATAATTTTTTTGTTTTTAATTTTTAATTCTATTATACTTAGAGATACACTTATACGCTGTCTTATACGATGTGGGGCGCTGTCATATAATGTACGGCTTGAATTGCATGTACATAGATCCAAAGTAGAGAAATGTATAGAAGATTACGAGGAAGAAGACTAGAGTGTGGCTTATATAAGGCGTAAAAATAGAAGCTTAAGAACAGAAGCCACTAAAATGTAATTTATATAAAAGTGCTTAGGGAATATGTTACAAAATAAAGTGGACTATTAAACCCATATAAAATTAATTAAAATCAAGAAAAATGTTAAAATCTGTGACTAGAGGCACGCTTAGGTATGATGGATGTACCTGCAGGCTATTGGATACGACCATACGACCCACCTCCCAACGCCCCTACCCCCAGCGGCATAGTTTCTGCCTGGTGTCCCCACTCCTGCCACCTCCCCATTCTGCCAATTCCCTGCAATTCCCTCCAAACAATGGAGCGACTGGCTGGGACTCCTTTTTATTGCATCTCCAACATGTGGTTGGTGGTTAGCTTGTGGGCTGGTGGTGTTGGCGGCTTCGGGCCCCGTTTAGTTGCATCGGGAACCAAGACCAGGCTGGGGAGCGACGACAAGGAGCCTGGAAAACGGGGACCTGGGGCCCTGGGGACCGCAGAATGCAGCGGCATTACTTTTCTGTATTGATTGGCTCTCCGGGCCTAAGCCGACCACTGACCACTGACCGCATTCGACTAACGATTTTCACGCTTCTTTCCAGCAGGACACGCAACTTGGCTCCAAGCCTCTGACGCGTTGAACACGTCACTCCAGCAACAACAACAACAATAACAACGAAGACCTCATACACACATACTAAAGGTGTAGAATCTAAAAAAAAAACAGGAATTCCAACTCGTGAATAAAAAAATTAATATTATAAAAATGGCTGCCGTGCGAGGACATCAGTACTTCAGCCTGCGCTGGAACAACTACCAGAACACGATGACGTCGGTGTTCCAGCAACTGCGCGAGGATCTCTCCTTCGTGGACGTCACCCTGTCCTGCGAGCACGGATCCCTCAAGGCTCACAAGGTGAGTACTTGAGTACTATAATCGTTCTTTGGTACTAATGCTCTTGGTTCTTCCTCCCAAGGTCGTCCTCTCCGCCTGCTCCACGTACTTCCAGAAGCTCCTGCTGGAGAATCCCTGCAAGCACCCCACCATCATCCTGCCCGCCGACATCATCTTCACCGACCTCAAGACCATCATCGACTTTGTCTACCGCGGCGAGATCGACGTCACCGAATCGGAACTACAGGTGAGTCGGTGCCCACAAGGTGCTAATGCGGGAGACGCAGGAGTGGGTGGGGAATCAATATATAAGGAATATAGACTATATAGAATATAGTTCTAAGAAGCTGTACCAAGAGGGTTATTGTACAAACTGTTAGCGATGAGGTGCTTAGAAACATTCATGCATCTGTGTAGAGGTGCTGTGATCTTTTAGTATATAACCTATTAGATCTATAAATATTGGAAAATCTAGTAACACTATCATGGAATTTTTAAGGGCAAAGTAGGAAAAGATTTTGAAAACTGAATGGTAACCAAAAACCAGGCCTAAAGCGACCTGGTTATAAGCTTATTAAATTGAGGATAATGATTAATGGGGACAAGTATAATCTGAATAAGTATCACAGCCCTGCTTGCTGCTTGAATAAGTATCACAGCCCTGCTTGCAGGACACTGTAGAAAGAGGGCTCATCAGATGAAACTATGAACTAGGAAACTGCAGACTGATTCTGGGACATGAGAGCTTAGATGACTGTGCTCCGAAAGCATCTTCTACATATGAGTTCACGAGACATGGTAGACCCATCTAGAAGGCATTAGAAAGACGTCTTGCAAAGGAACTAAAAGCTATGATGAGGCGACAATGGGTCTGTTAAGTCGCTTGCAATAAAATCTCAGACATCTAAATGTTCTCTGCCAGTCAATAACTTTTAAAAATATGAGATATAGGGCCTCTCATAGAGAATCTAAGTAGAAAGTGTATATAATTGGCTAAGATTCATATAATTTCCTACATCTTATACCTGATTTTCATAAATTTCATCAATGAACTTAAAAACAATTTGGGAAAAATTAGAGAGATTCTCAAGTAGAGACTATTTTGAGGTTGCCTTGTTTTATAAACATAAAGGAACTTCCCCTTTAGAAAGTTTTGGATGTTCTCTTAAAAGGTTTATTGTAAATCTTTAAGGAACTTTACAAATAAATGTGTACGGAATTGATATAAAACGTTAGAATAGTGGATTTAAAAAGATGGATATATTTACAGAAACAGAACCGAAAGTAGACTTATAGAAAATTTTAAGAATAAATTAATAGGAAGGACTTTTATTAGAATTATTTGTTAGAAAAGAGTATTGGAAGAAGGGCAATTGCGCCTTTAAAGAAATGGTACACTTTCAGCTTAGTGCATTTTAATTGGTTCCATTTTAGAGCTAAGAAATATTTAGAAAACTAAGCTTATCTACCAATTATAGTCTCCATTTTCAAAGTAATGATATAGATCAAGATAGAGAAGATATAGACAGAGATATAGGAAACGCAATCAAAATGTTTATAGTAACATGTCATAAACCATGGAGACACAGAATTACAACATAAAAGCTAAAAAAAAACAAAAACTAATATTCTTGTCCGAGGGATATTTGGAGTAATGTTTTTTCCCTTCCCTACAATAGACTATCATATGAATCTATACCTAAACTCTATAATATGATAAATAATATAATGTTTTATTATAATATTACTACCACTCAATTTAATATTTACTATTATTTGAATACCTCTTTTAAAAAAAAAAACTCTATTTTTAAATATTGGTTTAACAATAGTATCTATCAAACTTCTTATCTAAGACCCATTTAAATCTATTTTTATTACCGGGTGGAGTAAACAATTTTGTACTTAAAAAAACAACCAGATATTATTATTACCAGGGTTCTGATTTTTCGATAAGATATCTTCAAATAGACACTATTTTTAGAATGTTTACTTTTCAAAATGAAGTGCATCTGCATCTTATAGAATATCAAATGATTTTTATCAAATATCAAGGTCAAATATCAACTTTGTGTTATAGTATCATATTTATTAATCTAAAGCTAACAAATAGTTTTAAACCAAGAGCTAACTTAGGGCCAAGAGTCATAGCAGCCAAGGCCTTCGGCTCGCAGTTCATCTTGGTTTATGGGTTATAGGTTTATACAATGAACCATATTTTTCAATGGATTGAGATTTACAATAACTGTTTGTGCATTTATAATTACTAGATAGATAATTAGTTACTAGATAATTACTAGATAATTACTAGATTTGTTAGCATTCATATTTTGTAAGAGATTTGGCAGCTGTCTAGAAACTTGAGAAAGTTTTCTGATTTTTTATTTGTGGGGTTGGCTATTGTGGTAATAGGGCTATGGAGGAGTACTGAACGTTGTATGGTAAGGGCGGGACAGGTACAGATTATATGTCGGATATTCACCTGTGCATTGTGCTATAATATATCCCATTATATATTAAAATAAATCATAGTTTGGTTTAAAAAAATATCAAAAACCAATAGTTTCTCTTCTAAAAGTCAAAGTCAAATCGTTTACTCTTTGCAATCTGGCTCTTTATTACCATATCTAGTATCATTATTTGACATCATTGATTCACAACTGGTAGTTCGCAAGTGCCTTCCAATTATGAAACACACTGTAGCCGCAATTACCACCTCCTAATCTCCTAATCGGTATGTCAACAAACAAAACATCCAGCCAGCTAGACCACGAATATGGTTCTTTTTTAAATTGGACCTCAAATATAAAGGCGTGTGTGTGGATACATAAATAGAGATTGGTTCGGACACAATTACTGTCAGGGTCGTCGGTTTATCTGGGCGCCGCCCCGCCCGATCTTTCCGCGGGCCACCCTGCCTCCCATATCTATTCGAATTCCACCCACTAAAAACCTGCCAGATACACCCAGAAAATGTGGGGCAGTTTTTGTAACGTGAATACTTTTTAAAGACACTATAACGATTTATATTGTCTTTCATGGAATTTTCTTGTCTAAAACAATATAATTAAATATAATATAGCATAGTGTAATGTTATATTAAGCTTTAATTTAAAATATGCTCTTGAACTGGGGATGAATTGATATTTTCTATAGTTTTGCTTTAATTACTTGCTTTAAATTATAAAAGGTCAATAAATACTGATTATCATAAATCATAACAAGATATAAAAACTCGATATATTTTAAATCTTTAAGAGAGTTTAAAAAAATCTATTTTTTGACTTTCTAGTAGTTATTTGTTTTATAATTACAAATATTATATACATATACACATTTATATCTTCGCCATCACAAACAAATTTTATAATTTTTGGTCGAAATCTTTCAAAAACTAGTCTTTAATTGGATTATTTAGTCATTTTCTAAGAAACTCACCTTTTGCGGTATACTTTTATATATTTTAATTCTTGATATTGATTTTATTTATTTTAAAATAAATCTTATATATAAGATTATATATAGTATATAAAGATTCTTGAATTTAAGACAATATGATCCAAGCTATATGACATGCTAAAAAGCAACATAATTGATATATTTTTATTAAATTAAAAGTTATTAATTATGTATAAATTAAAATGAAATATGAAATTAAAATAAATTGAACTCTACGACTGAATGTCATATATTATATATATGTATTCTTTATCAGAGTCGCAGTCCGAGGCAATATAATCATGTCGTTGGGTCCATGTTTAAGGTCCCTAAAACCATAAATAGCCAATCTAATTTATATCCTATACCTTTCATAAAAATAATCATACATAGTCTAAGTAAATCTAAGAAATACGCTAAATTGATTTAATAAATAGTTTTAATATCCTAAAGAAGGATATTATTAGAAGGACTATCCTAAAGAATCCTAAAAAGCATATTTCTGTACCAGAGGAGAGTATTTCTAACCTAATTGTCTCCCTAAAAGTATTTCTAGCTCTGGAGAGATGGAAATGGGTCTTTTTAGATCACCGAGAAAGAAGACACTATCGGGAAAGAACTCTATAAACTGACATCCTGCTAATTTTTGATATTACAAAAGCCTTAAATTTTTGCCAGTGCATCATTGTGCCTCCCAGCTTGTTGCCGGTGGCTTGCATTTGATGACAACGCCCCATTGTAATTGTCATTTGTGGGCTTCATTAACTCTCGTTGTCGCCGATTGCTCTGGGGCATTGGGCATCAGGCATTGGGCACTGGAATACCTCCAATAATGCACATACACCTCCATATACTTATCGGGGAGATGTCGCCAAGCCATTGATACGGAATTCCCTCCACGAATGCCATGGTTGTTGGTAATTATTATTGATTTGCCAGCTCGGCACTCGCAGCTTTTGCAAGTATATCGATTCAGTTGAATAATTAGCTATAGATAAGGTAAGGGGTGGAATGGGGTTTATTTTTGGTTGGAAATTGGGTTATATTTTCTAAATTATTGCGTGATTTTTAAAGAAATTCAATTATGAATTTAATTAATTATGTAATTTAGAATTCTTTACATTATTCAAATTATTATCGATTTTTTTGCGTTGAAATAATTTGGTTTTGAACTTAAAAAAAGTGTTTTTGAAAAACATGTTTGATTCTGAAACATTTTTCAAGCAAATTTTAAAGTTAAAAAAAAATCCAAAATTAAAAAAATATATTTTAAAATTAGAGAACATAATTATACATTGTTTTAATCACTAGAGTTTATTAAAACCTGTATGATATTTCAATTAATTTCCAAATAGCAGTAAACAGCATAAATCAGCAACACTGTTAGGGGTTAACATTAACATATTTAAGCAGGAACCGTTCCTAGCCGAGACAGCCACCACATTACAGCCGCGTCCGCGATTAACAGTGGTGGCCATTGGCAATGCCCCAGCTTGAGTCGCTTTCCCTTTCCTCCCACTTGCTGTGCTCCCTTCTTGGCACCAACGAGCAAATAAATGCTCAACTTGGTTCGCGCTCAAGTCGCTGCTGCTTTTCCTCAGCATATGAGGGAAAAAAATGGCTCAAGCTGACGCAACGCTCAAACGGCGGTCCAGGTCCACCCCCCCAGGCCCCAACCTCTTCTTCCGGTGGCACACACACACACGCGTACCTCTCTTTCCGCTTCTTCTTCTTCTTGCGGCGACTGGCAGACGACGACTTCCCATTCATGCTGCCGCTCTCAGCCCCCCATTCTGCACTCCCCATTCC